TGGCTGGTGCCTTAGCCGGTTGAGCTATAGGTGCCGAGCCTGCTCTTGGTTTCAATATGGTTTTATCATGTGAAACATAGCCAAATGGGTAAGTTCCTGATTCTGACAGTTCTTGACCACTGAAGTACCATAAATACAGCCAGAGCGACACAGGAAGGAACAATAGGATAGAGAGAATGTGGAGGTCTTCGCCTTGCAAAGGTTGGTAGTGAGTAGCACATTTGGGAAGTTTTTCCAAGAGGTATCTACCTGAGCTGATCCAGCAGGCCATCAGCTAGCACATGGCCTATGGTCCATCTCTGAACACAGTCACTTAGCTCTGGCGAGTACCAGGTACCCAGGGGGCCCTATGTAGAGGCAGGAATGCAAAGGCTCAGGCAGGCAGCCTCTGACAAGCCTGGGGAGAACAGCCCAAGTTGTATTAGGAACTTACAGAATGTGTGGTGGATTAAACACTACAAGTCAAAACTTAAACTAAATGAAAGACCCAGCAATTCCACACCTAGGTATATAGCCATGACAATTCAAAACTTATGTTCATGCAAAAACGTTTACCAAGTGTTCCAAAAATACAATGCTGGACCAAAGTAAAATTTATACATAAATGCTTAGCATTCATTAATAGTCAAGAAGTGGAACCAACCCAAATGCCCATCACCTGATGAATGAATAAACAAAATGTGGTAAATATTTTTTAAAGCCCCCAGATGATTCTATTGGCTGAGAACCCCAGGGTTAAGGGGTAGGCTCTGCCCAAATGGAATCCCAAAGTCCTTGTCACAAACTCTGTGTCCTTGCAGGGAGGGGCCCCACCTTGATTTCTCCATTTTGAAGCCACCCTCATCAGAGGCAGCAGCCTGAATGAACACACAGAGCAGCAGGGCTTAGAGTGTACAGCCCGTCACTCCCATCCTTCCTCTTCAATATGTCCCACCTCAGCTGTGGAGCCAGCTCACTGCTGGTGTACTGAGCACATTTAGCTTTAGTCCCCAAGGCAGGGACTTGAAAGGGGCACCTTTCTGATGGGCCTGGCTTCAAGTACCCTACTACTCTGGCCTCTAGGCACTCAGCTGCTACCTACAACCACATCAGTGATGCCACGCCTTGACCACCTAGCCCAACTTCACCTCACGTTTTCTCCTAAGTGAGTCCTGGTTTGAAGCGACAATGGTATCTGGGTTTATCCTTTTAAACTGTTAAGGGTACACCTCAGTGTGGCCCCAGATGTGAGAAAAGCACAGCTTGACAGACCCCAAACATTGTTTCCAGCTCAAGCTCACTGAGTCTCTCAGTGAGAAAGGCAGGTGTGAGGTCCTTGGGGGCAGGGATGAGTTCACAGTCACAGGGAGGACAGGGCCTGGTACAGGTGGCTGCCTCAGACCATGCCAGTGCTGGGTGCTGTCCTCAAGGCCAATTCAAAGGGTCCTCCTGTCAGGCTGAATGATTACACGGGGACAATGGACGAGCACTGGGGCCACAGACTGCAAGAATGGCCCTCAGAACGGTTTGAGCAACCCCCTGCTGCTGTTCAGGAGGGGGCCCGGCTCCCCTCTGGGGTTGGCACAGGACAGATGGCTAGAGAAGTGTGGGCACTCGGCCAGACTGCAACCTGCTGTGCTAAGCTGGAGTGTTCTCTTTATTTCATATTTTTCAGGATTCAACTTTTGTCACACGAAACAGTAGGTACCTAAGTATTTCCTGAATTAATGAAAAATATGGGCCAACCATACACTCAAGAAACAAGAACAGTTGTGACAGGCTTCTTTTGAGGCTGACAATCTTACAGGAAGGACACACTTTTATTAGCTGATTGAGGTTTTTCATGCCAGTGAGAGCCCTCCCAAGCCCCCAGAAATCACTGCAGCACAGTGGTCTGCAGCACATCTGGCAGGGGCAAAGAGAACAGAGATGGCGGTCCCTGCATCTTGCAAACCACTCTGGCAGGGAGATGGTGGTAGCCCAGGGACTAATACCTGGGTGTACTCCACCTTCCACTTGGCACTTCTACAGGAACAGAGTCTGGGTGTAAAGACAGTGAATGACCAGAAGACACATCAGAATTAGCAAGAGGCTCACTGCACCCAGGGAACCATTCACGTGCCCACTAAAGTGAGAGCAGACCAGCATTGGGCAAACACTGCTTTCCCAAGAGCACAGTGTCGAAGCCCAGCAACCAAGCTGACAGCAGGCAAGTGCTGGGAGGGGCTGGGGAACAAGGAGAGCACACATGACACCTGAAGACAGGGCCTGTGGCAGGGAAGCTCTACCAGGAGCCCTCATGACCAAAAGGGCATAGCTGAACGGCCCCTCCAGGCAGACCAAGCCCAGCTGAAAGAAACAGTTTCAAAACAAATCCAAGATGTACCTTTTTATACAGTTTGCTATGTCCAAAGGCAAGATCGTTATTGGCTCTGCATCTTGGTTGCCATTTTGTGAATGGTTTATGTTTTTTTATGAGACATAAAAAAAAACTGTCACCCTAGGTAAAGTGCTGTGGCACCATAGCAGCTCGCAGCAACCTCAAACTCTTGGGCTTAAGAAATCCTCTTGCCAAGTAGCTGGGACTACAGGTGCCTACCACAACGCCTGGCTAGTTTTTCTGTTTTTAGTAGACAGAGGGTCCCACTCTTGCTCAGGCTGGTTCTGAACTCCTGAATCAGGCAATCCACCTGCCCTGGCCTCCCAGAGTATTGGGATTATAGGCATGAGCCACTGTGCCTGGCCTGGGTGGGTGGTTTAAAAACTCACCTTCTCCAGAGACCCTCTATCACCCATCGTCACCTCCCATCCTGAGCCCCAGCAGCTGTGACCCAGGCCTGATCTACTGCGACACTCACACTCTGTAACTCAGTATGCGTGACATGGCTCGTATTTCACTGAGGTCACATTACCCTTCTTCACTGTGGGGCCCACCCAGAAGTTTCAGGAAGGAAAGTGACACACTGTTCTCAATTTCTATTTCAAGTTTATGAAAAAAACTTTAGTAAACTTAGGAATAAATCTAAGAATTGCACTTATGGCCCAGGGGCCATAAGAGGGCTGCTCCCCCAGACACCCAGACTGTGGCAAGGACACCCTCTTCGTGGTGGTCATCGTACTTTAAAGCGCAGCCCTTCCAACATCTCCACCCCTCTTCTTCATTTCTTTCCCCAGCCCACCTCGCAGTTTACTGGTCATCATCGGCTTCTCTCCCTGGAATGGATGACTCACAGGGCACGGGTGCTTGTCACCACATGCCCAGCATGATGAATGTACCTGGCACCTAAGGGTTACACACCAAGTGCTGAGTGAAGGTGTAACTGGAATGGCTCCTCCTCCAGGTGGGCAGCAGGTGACATCCCAGTTAGTGACATGAGCACCAGATATTTTCTCCCAACTGAACTAGGAGAGTACAATCTGTTCAGAAAATATTTTTCAAGCAGACTGTCTTCTGAAGTATTTTTCACTGGCCCCTTTATCAAAAGCCTTGTTTTTCAAAGCTAATCTCTAAATGATCAAGTCAAATCATAAAAGGACCTCTTCAGTTCTTAAAAATCAAAAGGCAGAGAATAGACTTTATTCCAAAGAGATCTTTAAAAGATGTTTTTAAAGGAAAAGACAAGTCATGCTACTAAATCAAATGCTTTTCACAATCCCCGAATCTTTCTTCTCCAAGGCTGGCACTGCAGCCAAGCCTTTGTGGACATGTTCACCGCCCTCAGCCCACGAGAATTTGGCCTCAATCTTCCTGAGGGGCTTTTCAACTTTTCTAAGCCCAGCAGTGAGATGGTCACAGGCTGAAGATAGCCACGGGCCCCGTTGAGTGACAGGCTGGTGTGCACTGGCAGCTCCATGGAGAATCCTAGTCTGAGGTATTTCAGGCTGCTGGCTTGTGTCCTACCAGTAAGCTTGCGGTGCGGTAGCTGACCTGAAAGGGCTGTGAGTAGACCAACTTGGCTAAAGCCAGCCTGGCTCCCTCAGCTACAACCAAGGCTCAGCCTGAGGCACAAATACAGCCTGCCAGACACAAACCAAGGGGCCTGCCGTGACAAGGGGAAAGAGACACCAGCCTCAGTGCTACATTCTATCAGGGTCCCCTGTAAGACAGTGCAAAACGTTATGCCATGAAGGCTAAGCTTTCCTAAGACTGGTGTCTTGGGTCAAAGGTTATACCAGAAGCTGCCCCATGTTACCTGAAGACAGTTGAGATGTGTAAATCATCTCCCCACCCCAGGCCATCCCAGCATCTCAGGAGCCCGGCCCACAAAGGCAGTGTCCTGTGCTGAATTCAGTAGGTCTTATCCTCAGCTGAGTTTGGGACCTTGTCCCAGATGCTCTCTGTACATGCCCACCAAGTGCCACACTCCACAAAGGGTCCTCATCCCCTTCTGCCACCAAACAGGAATCCAAGCTGGGCATTCATGTGCCTGCCTCTAAGCAGTCGGAGTGGTTCTGAGGCCAGGGCCAGACTCCAGCAGGTCAGGCAGGAGATTCAGATGAATGACTTGGCCAGTGTCACCATGTGATCCACACCGCATGCAACATCCACAGGCTCCCCAGGCATCGTCACCTGAAAAATAAGGCCCAGAACACCATGAGGGGAAGACAGCACACAGGGGAGCAGCAGAGTCAGCCCAATCTGGGCCCTGCCTCTTAGGTCTGCCTCTAACTCTGTCTGAGCCTCGACTCCCTCCCCTAAGAACGGGGATGTGTGATGTGTTAACGGACCAAGCAGGCTCCATTATGACAGTAGCCATCACTGTTCAAGTCCAGCCCTCAGACCGCTCTGGGCAAGGACACAGACCTGTGTGCCCTGTGCTGGAATACACATGTCCCACAGAGGCTACTTCTCTGAATGTGACCTGCCAGGCTCCTGCTCTGTAAGCTGGACATTCAGTGACACCTTTCCTAGAGTCACCACCTTGGCTCAATAGGAAGCTCAAGAAACCTTTCTCTTGCCTTTCTCTTCCACTGCCCCCCTGGCCCAGTGTTTCAGTCCCCTTCAGACACAGGGAGGCTGTGTCCCAAGTCACAGCCATTTCAGAGAACAGCACAACTATGTCTCAGAAGGACCTTGTTGTCATCACAGGCAGGCTCAGCCCTCAAGGGAACAAGAAGACAGCTTTGTTCACATCAGGCAGCATAAGCCTGTCTGCCTTAAAAAGGGTGCCAGCTGTTTTATAGCATCACCTTAGAAATGGATGCCCCTGGCTCAGCGCCTATGGCTCAAGAGGCTAAGGCGTCAGCCACGTACACCCAAGGTGGCGGGTTCAAATCCAGCCCAGGCCTGCCAAAGAACAATGACGGCTGCAACCAAAAAAAAAAAAGAAATGGACGCCCCAAACATTCCAGGTGTGCCCAGAGCCACAAGGCCAGCCAGCTGTCCAGAAAAGGGGAAATTTTCATTCTGGTTCTTGTTTATTATTATTATTAGATAATACAAAAGGACATTCAGTGAAAAAGAATAAAAAGGTATTGAATACCTTTAATACCACCACCCCTACCATCATCTGTCCCAGTCTCCACCTGCCTCTGAACTGGAAACTACTTTTAACTAGTTTTTATTATCCTTCCAGAGGTTCTTAATGCAAAGAAGAGCAGACACAGGTCTTATTCTTTCTTTTTTTTTTTTTAAGAGATAAGAGTCTCACTTTGTGCCATGGGGTCACAGCTCACAGGAACCTCCAGCTCTTGGGCTCAAGCGATTCTCCTGCCTCAACCTCCCAAGTACCTGGGACTACAGATGTCCACCACAACGCCTGGCTATTTTTTTGTTGCAGTTTGGCCGGGGCTGGGTTCGAAACTGTCACCCGCGGTACATGGAGCCGGCACCCTACTCACTGAGCCACAGGCACCGCCCAGGTCTTATTCTTTCTTAATCAATGATGCCCCCTCATGGTTTGCCCGTAGACCCTTGCCAGGATGCTGACACCACTTCTGCTGACCAGATCTGAATTTGACCATCCTTCCCTGATGGCCACAATCAACCAGGCAGTGAGTGTGACAGCTGGAAAGGGGATCTGTCACAGCCTGTGGAGTTTACTAGGCTTAAGAGGGAAATGCCTAATCCAGATGGCCCAGCCAAAAAGCACACAGGCAGCACGCACTGACCCCGAGCTTTGTGTCTATGTTGGGGAGACAAGACCATTAGAAGACTCCTGGCCACAGACAAATGGATGCGAAAAACCGAGTCATACCATACTCCCCTCTCTAAACAAACGTCTCTAGCAGAAACTATTACAGAAATCACTAAACAAACAAGAAGTAGTGACCCAGTTAATCCCAAAGGCACGTAGATGCAGAAAGCGTTCCAGGCTGGCCATGGAAGCAGCAGAAAACACACTGCCTCTGGAGGCAGGGTCCAGATGAGTTCTTAGCAACCTTCCAGCCATTAGAGAGCACTTTATTTACCTTTCCTGGGAAACTGCCACTCTCCTCACTAAATCTGTGCCAAACTGCTGCACTTAGCACTTCTGTCCCTGTCCCCCCAGTGTTCTGGCCATTAGGGCCCAAAGCAGAGTAAACCATTTGCCTTGGGTCACTTGCCAGGACAAGGATCTTAGCCTGGGGCCCCTGAGAGCCTCTCTGGGGAGCAGCGGCAGCTCCCCGAGGCTCCAGCGCCCCCTGGCTAGAGCTCCCACACAGCCTCTGAGCTGAGTCCAAGAGAACACTGCCCTCAGCCATGTTTTATTTTTGTCCTAGTCAAGGTTAAAAGGAACTTCTATTCTAAACCAATTTATGTTCACAACTTTGCTGCACAGGAAAGCAGTTCCAAAAACCAGAACCACATTTAGCCTGAGTAACTCTTTTAAAAGTCTGAGCAGAATCAGCTTAATAGCATCTCTCTCCACAATTACTAGCTCCTGAAACAAACGCCCACCAGGTAAAAGGCAGAGGAACAGCTGGAGGGGCACTGAACCAGAGCTGTGAGTCCGTCATGGCAACAGAGAGTGAACTGTGATAAAGGGAGGCAGCTCAGGGCCCAGCTGTGCTCCACAGAGTGCCCAGCTTGTAAGCTGCACTACTTTCCTACACTGTCACAACCAGGTAGAACCTGGGGCTACTCAATGGCCAGAGGAGGCCAGGAGTCTGGGGGTTTCCCAGCTTATGCCCCAAACTCTATTAGTCTTGACCCAGGGGACACAGCAGGAATGAAAGTGGTCTGCAGGCAAAGGCCCGGTTCAAATCATACCCACTCAGGGGCCGTGAGATTTGGGGCAAGCCCCTTTCGACTCACAAAGTCCACTTGTGCACACTGCGGAGAGCCCGACCCTCAAAGGGAGGGAACAAATCCAAAGTGCCCTGCACACTGTCCATGCTCTGCCTCCCAGGCAGTAAGGCTATGAAGTTTTGTGAGTGCCAAGTGTGCTCCCTGGGAGGGGAAAGGTCATTCAAAACCCCTTCAGAGCCTATCCCAGGCCAGTGGTCTCCTGTTTAGGTCAGAGTGTCCTGAAAGACCAGGCAAAGGCTGGCCAAATACTCCTCCACTCTGCATTCTGCCTTCTCTCCAGCTTCAGGCTCTCTTAAGGGAGGTGAGCTACAGTGAAAACACCACTATCTTAAAAGCTGGACCTATCTGTTGTCAGGTGAGGAGGCTCACTTTGTAATCCTACCACTTTGGGAAGCCCACAAAGGAGGATTACTTCAGGCCAAGTATTCAACACCAACCCAGGCAACATAGCAAGACCCCTGTCTCTAAAAGATTTTTTTTAATTATCTGGGCATTGTAGCATGTGGCTGTGGTCCCAGCTACCAGGGAGGCTGGTCCCAGCTACCAGGGAGGCTAAGGCAGGAAGATCTT